GACCCGCCCGCAGCCAGCGAGCGAGGACCGCGCCCGACTGCATCGCCGCCGTCTCCACCTCCCTGCCTGGCGCCCTACCTCACGCAGGAGCTGTCGGCGGCCTCCTTCCAGGACATGGCCCGCCAGGTGCGGGCGGTGTGTGTGTGTGTGTGTGTGCGCGCACGCGTGTTAATGTGTGTGTGTGATGGTGGTAGTGTGTGTGTGTGTGTGTGTGCGATGGTGGTGGTGGTGTGTGTGTGTGTGGTGTGTGGGTGAGTGGGTGTGGGTGTGTGTTGTTGCGGCGGATGTGTGTGTGTGTGGTTGTTTGTAGGATGGTGCCTCCATACTCCTCCACAGCGCCCCGTCTCTAGCCTGTACCCCCACACCGGACACCCCCCGCCACCCCACCCCTCCCCACACGCAGGACCAAGTTCTACCACACGCTGCTGCAGTGCGTGGAGGCGCTGTGCGAGGACCGCGCCACGTCGGCGCTGCTGACCTGGCACGCCACGCACAGCGCCAGGAGCGTCGCCTCCGCCATCGCCCAGCTGGAGGCGCAGGTGGGGCTCGCTGGCTGGCTGGCCCCAACCGGTGGGCTCTGCCCGGGTCCCAGAGCATTGCACAGAGCACTGGAGGCATCGAAGAGAGCAGGCGGCGGCACAATCCGGGCGCCTTCTGAGGCCGGCCGCTGGCCCAGCACTCGCAACCCCGCTGCACCAGCATGCAACATGTGCTGTTGCCCCCTCCCCTCCTCCGCCGCAGGTGACTCACTTTGTGCGTGTGTACAAGCAGGCGGCAGCGGCCACCGCGGCGGCGTGCGCGGGCAGCAGCAAGGGCGCCCGCGGCGGCATCAAGGGTGCGTGCCGGCCGCTCCCTGCTGCCGCACCCTGCTGGCCCTGCTCTCGGCTGCTGCTCCCCGCCCAACCCCTCGGCCCCGCCTGCTCCAGCTCCCCTTGTGCTGCTCGCCTTTCGCCTCCCACTCGCTGCCGCTCACGTCTCCTGCCCGCCTACATCACTCCCTGCCTGCCAGCCAACCTCCTTCCCTTCCTGTCATCTCTCTCCCTCCCGATCTGCCGACTTCAGGGGAGTCTGAGGAGGACAAGCAGGAGGTGGAGCTGGCCAACCACCTGCTGGAGGCGGCGGCCAAGGTGGCGGCCGCGGCGCCCGCCGCCGTGCACGCGGGACGCGGCGGCGCCGCCCCTGGAGCAGCGGCGGCGGGGGAGACGGCAGGAGGAGAGGGAGGGGCGGGGCCGTCGGGACAGGGCGGCGCAGGTGGGGAAGGAGGGACCATGCTGTACCGCCTGTCGCTGGGCCGCCTGCCTGCGGTGCTTCCCACCCAACGCCTGGCCAGCGGCTTCTGCACTGCCAGCGTACCATTGCCTTCTCGACAGCTTCCTCCCGGTGCTACCCCGCTGCGCTGCAGAGGTGTGTGCGGAGGAGGCGTACCGCCTGACCATGTCGCAGTACCGCGTCCGCATCTCGACCGGGGTGGCCACCAACCACAGGTGGGGGAGGTGGAGGGCTGGGCTTAGGGTTTAGGGGCTCAGGCTGGGGTTGCTACATTGGGAAAAATGGGCTCCTGGGAAGCAGCGCTCGGCAGGCATCGCTCGGCCGGGCTCACTGGCGGCGGGCGGCGACCCCTGCATGCCCCTCCTCTCAATGCCTGCCGGCGCGCTCTCCTCGCCTTCCTTCCGATGCCTTGACCCTCCCACCCTTTCCCCGCATGCAGCCACCGAGACCAGGGCAGGGCGGAGTGGATGCAGCCCAAGCTGCGGGCGAGGCGGGTGGGGCGCGAGCTGGCCTCGTGCGAGAGCGACCTCCCCGTCAGGTGCGCTTTCTTTAATCTTTCCTAGTATCTTTTTTTCTCTTTTTTTTCTCTCGCTGTGACGAGCGTGCTGGTTTTCAGTCTGCCCGCTAGCCTGGACCTGCCTGCCCGGCGGCTCACCCAGCCTGACGTCCTGCACTGCCGCCCGCCTCCTTTGTCTCCCACCCCTGCCCGCCCGCCGTCTCCCTCGCCCGCTCGCCCCCTGCCTCCTCCCCTCCTCCCCTCCTCGCCGCCGCAGCGCCTCCAGCAGCGTCTTTGTGGTGGCTGACGAGGCCAACTGCAATCTGTGGAAGGCCATCATCACAGGTGGGGTGCAGGCTCTGCCCGCCTCGCCCGCAGCCTGCGTGCCGGCTCCTGCCGCGTGCGCTGCAGCCTGGTCAGCCGGCTTTGACTGGCTGGCCTCTTGCCTGCTCCACTCCGCTGCTCCCCGCCTCCACCCGCATGCCTCCTCCCGTCCCTCCCTCCCCTGTGGACCACAGGGCCTGAGAACACGCCCTACTGCGGCGGCTGCTTCCTGTTTGACATCTACTTCCCTCCCGGTGAGAGACGGGCTCGGCGCCTACATGTGGCGCCTGCCTGCCTGCGTGTCTGCATCCCCGTGGGTGGTGGCGCCGACCGCGCGTGGCCCCTGCAAGGCTGCGCGTGCCTCCCACCCGCCTCGGCCACCTTTCCCTCGCCGCCGCCATGCATGTCGCCCCCGTCGCCGTGAGCGCCTTCCTCTGCGGCCCCTCCTGCAGACTACCCGCGAGTGCCCCCTAAGGTCCTCATCCGCACCACCGGCGGCGGCAGCGTGCGGGTGAGCCCTGGTACCCGGCGGCGGTACCGCCGGGCACTGCAGCACCATGGGCAGGTGGCGGCAGCAGCGGGCGCTGGCAGCGCAAGCCTCCTCCCTCCAGCCAGCCTTTCACCCATGCCTCTGCGCCTCTCGCATATCTCCCTCTGCCCAACACCAACCGCTCCCTTGCCCCTTGCCCCCGCCCCCTCCTTCCCTCCCCCCCCAGTTCAACCCCAACCTGTACCAGGAGGGCAAGGTGTGCCTGAGCCTGCTGGGCACGTGGCAGGGCGGGCGCGGCGAGAGCTGGTCCCCAGACTATTCAACTGTGCTGCAAGTGCTCATCTCGATACAGGTGGGGGGGGCCTGGGCCTGGGGCTGTGTCGCGCTGTGCTGCTGTGCTGTGCTGCGCTGTGCTGTGCTGCGCTGACCCCCTCGCTGCGCCGGCCTGCCGCGTGCCGCCCAGAGTCCCCGCCCTTCCTTCTCAGCCCTTCCCTCCTTGCTTCCCGGGCCCTTCTTTGCTTCCCGCGCCCTCCTTTCCTCCCCCCTCCAGTCCCTCATCCTGGTGGACGACCCGTATTACAATGAACCCGGCTACGAGCAGCGCGCCGACGACAGCAACAGCAACAGATACTCGGCGGCGCTCATGTGAGGGTCCCTCTGTCCCGGAAGACCCGCCTGCGTGGCATGCTGCCGTCGTGCCTGGATCCAGGCGCCGCCACCCCCTCCTGCCGCTGCGTCTACGCTCCCAGTCGCCATATACGAAACACTGAACCGCTTCATTCTCCCAGCTCCAGCACACACAGACCCACACGCACCCATACTCTGCCCACATACGCTGCCCACGCACGCTGCCCACACGCACCCGCCCGCAGGCCCAACACTATCAAGTGGGCCATGCTGGACCAGCTGCAGCACCCGCCGGAATACTTCAGGGAGGTGGTGCAGCAGCACTTTAGGTGGGTGGTGTGGTGGGTGTGGTGGTGGTGTGGTGATGGTGGGAGGGTGGATAGATGGGGTGGCGAGGTGGGCACCGTTGAGGAGGGTGGGCTGTGTATGTGTTGGGTGGGTGGGGTGGGGGGAGGCAGTGGGGTGCAGTCACGGGGGGGGTGGCGCACGCCCACTGGCGAACCTGGTGGACCAAGCAGAGCCTCTCCCCAGCTGAAAGGTTAGGCAGGCTTTCCCCCTCTGAGCCGCTGGCGCCCCTGCGACCCCGTCCCCGCAGGCTGCGGGGCGACTTCATCCTGGCCAACTGCCGCAAGTGGGTGACGTGGTGCAAGGACAAGGGGCAGGCGGGTGAGGCTCGGGAGGGGGCATGCCGGGCACGGCGCGGGCTTGCTGGGCGGGCCAGGGTTCGTCCCTGCGCCCCCGGCGTGTGCTGTGCGTGCTGTGCTGCGCTGATGCCGGCCGCATACGCGGCCCAGCCAGGCGGTTCCGGTGCCCTGTTGATTCGCCGCCGCCGCTGCCCCTCCCGCCCACCCGTGCCATCCGCCCTCCTCCTGCTGCCGCCGCCGCAGCGTATGCACGCAGCATAGAGCAGCAGCTGCCGGCGCTGGAGGTGGAGCTGCGCAAGCTGGCGCAGCCGCAGCAGCAGCAGCAGGCGGCGGGGCAGTGAGCTGTCGGACTGGTCACCCGCCATGGCACGCAGACGTGGGAGGAGTGTGTATAGGGTTTGGGCTGGCTGGACGCTGGGTAGGAAGGCGTAGGAGCATGTGTGCGCTGTGTTCATTTGATTTTGGCGTGTAGACCAGCCACAGCAGCATTACGGCTGGCTCTTGCAGCAGTCCAAGCAGGTGCTCTTGCACAGAGCATGTCGACATGGCGACAGTGTATGCTAGCTCCCGTCGGCCGCCTGTGCCTGCCCCGACCCAGAGCAGCCGTGCTGCGCCAGGGCTACGTTGGAACAGTTCCGGGTCGAGACCGTTGACCGTAAGCCCACCAGCTCCTGCCACCTGGCTGCGGCAGAAGCTGGTGTTGCACACAGAAGAACCCTGCAGGCCGCTCCGGTCGGCCTGTTCGCCATGCAAGCCGATCGCGCACCTCCCTGGCTGCTGCCGGCCCTTGGACTGGCGCTCGCGCTGAGCGTCTGCGCCCAGGTGCCGTGATCGGCAAGCGGGCCGGGACGCCTATTTGCGCCCCGCTGCCGCTCCCTGAGGCCTATGCGATCGGCTAAATTGCCCGCAACTTTAATCCGGCGGGGCGCGGGACGCTCCTTCCAGCTTCCGCTAGTGCCGCCTTCCCGCCGCCACACGCCTTGCACCAGCAAACGCCCCCAGCTGCAGCCTGCCCACTGGCCCGCCTCCCTGCCTCCCCCTCCACGTGCTCTGCAGGGCGCGTCTGTCTCAGCCACTGGCCCGCACAGGCTCGGGGAAGCACCAGAAGCGGCCGTCAATGCAGGCGCCGCCGGCGCCGGCGGCCACCGGCGCCGCCTGCTGGCTCCGGTGCGCTCCGGCTCCCCCGGGAGGATCCCCCAAGCCCTGGTGGACGCCCACAACCCCGCCAACAACCCCCGGCGACCCGCCGGCGGCTCCGGATCCGACGGCACCGCCGCCGCCGTCTCCGCCGCCGCCGCCGCCGCGGCCGCCTCCTTTGGCGCCTCCCACTACAAGCAGGTGCTGGGTCTGAGCTACCTCTTCTACGAGGCGCAGCGCAGCGGGGCCCTGCCCGCCAGCAACCGCGTGGGCTGGCGGCGGTCCTGCAACCTGCGGGACCGCGTGGTGGGGGGGTATCTCGACGCGGGAGATACCATCAAGCACGGCCTCACCACCGCAGAGACGGTCACCTTCCTGGCCTGGGCAGCCCTGGACTTCAGGCAGGGACACGCGACAGGTGAGGCGGCAGCGGGGCAGGCGGCTGCGTGCTGAGGTGGCGGCAGGGCAGGAGCGGAGTGGTGAATCGTGTGTGGTGGTGGCGGTGCAGCGCGCATTGCCCTGCTGCCGCTGCTCTGCACCCACCCACCCCTGCCCCCCGCCGCACAGACACTGCCCCCCTGCCCCCCACTCTCGCCCTCCTTATTGCCCGCCACTGCAGCGGCCCAGGTGGGGCACGCCAAGCGGGCGGTCAAGTGGGGCGCAGACTACCTGGCCGCCTGCCGTACCGGGCGGGACCAGTTTGTGGGGCTCATCGGCGACCCAGGTGGGTGGGCAGAGCCGCGGGTTGTGGCTGTGTGTGGGGGCGGGGGGTGCGGCTGTGCGTGCCTGGCTCGGCGGCAGGCACGCACGGCGTGGCGCAGCGGTGGGGCAGCGTGCCGCGGCTGGGCCCCAGGCTCCGCCTAGGCTCCTCACCACCTTCTCCCAGCGCTGAGCCGGCTGACTCCCTTCCTTGTCCTCCTGTCCGGACATGTCATCCCCTCCTCCTTTCCTCCCGCAGATGTGGACCACTCGTATTGGGGGCGCCCAGATGAGTACACAGGGGAGAGGCGGGCCTACCTGTGGAACCGCACCACGCCTGCCTCCGACCTGCTGGGCATGGTGCGCACGCTGTGCTCATGCTGTGCTCACGCTGTGTGCGCGTCTGGCCTGCTGGGCACGCTGTGCTCATGTTGTGCTCACGCCGGGCTGTACACGCTGTGCTATACACGCTGCGCCATGCTACGCCATGCTGCGCCATGCCGGCCACGCCCCGACGCACGTGGTGGCCAAGGGGACAAGGGAGATGTGCCCACCGCTGCTGCCCCCATGCATGCCCATGCCCCCGTGGGCAGTGCTGCGGGCCAGTTGCTGGGCTGCCCGCCCTTGCCACCTGCTCCTCGGCCCGCTTACCGCGGCCTACCCACCCAGCCTGCCCGCCCACCCGGCCGCCGCCTGCAGACTTCCGCGGCGCTCGCCTCGGCCAGCATATTGCTGCGCCCGGACAACGCCACCCACGCCAACCTGCTGCTGGCGCGGGCCAAGCAGCTTTATCAGTGGGGCGCTGACGTGCCAGGTGTGGGGGTGGCTGCGCCTGGTGGGTGGCATGTGTGTGCTGAGGGCTGGGTGTGTGGCGGCGATGTGGGTGGATGGTGTGGGTGTGTGGCCATGCCCTGAACCACCCGCTACCTTTGCTGCTGCGGCGCTGCCCTGGCTTGCTGCCGCTTGCCCAGCATGGGCTGCCACGTGCGTCTCTGCATAGTGCTGCCCTGTGTGCCTGCAGGTATCTACAGCAGCAGCTTCCCTGGATATCCCGACGTCTACAAGTCCTCCAGATACCTCGACAAGCTCATGCTGGCCGCCGCCTGGCTGCACCGCGCCACCGGTGCGCGCCCGCCGCCGCCACGGCGCGCAGCCAGCGCGCCGGCGAGCTCCAGCCAGCGCCCAGGCCTGGCCCGCTGGTGGGGTCGCTGCGGCATGTGCATGCCAGTCTCCTTGCTGCCTACATGCGCCCATCCACCCCCACCCCACGCCACCCCACGCACACACACACCACCACCACGGCTACCACCACTGGTACCACATGGCGGCAACACCACGGGCACCACATGGCATGGCCAGCCCCAGGATGCTGACACGTGCTGCCACCTCTGCAGGCAACACCACCTACCTGGCCCAGGCACACAAGCACTACAACGACGCGGGCGGGCGCTGGCAGATGGCCCCCTACATCTCGTGAGCGGGCCGCCGCCGCCACTGCCGGCTGCATACCACGCATACACGCGCATTACACCTGTATATGGACCGCATGAGTGCTCCATGTGCGGAGAGCATGCACGCACGCAGCCCCACCCCACATCACCCCCCCCCCCCCCCGCGCATGTGAACATGTGCAGTTACGATGCCCAGTATGTGCCCGCGGTGGCGCTGCTGCTGAGGTGCGCTGCAGGAACTGGCTGGCCAGCCAGCTCTCGGCGGGGCAGCCGGCCCACAGCTCTGGCTGACAACCCCGGCACAGCCGCCCACCGCCTCTCTGCTGCCCTGCTGGAAGCGGCAGCAGCCTTACTTGTGCCGCACTTTCCACCCGGGTGGTACCCATCTCCCCTGCTTGCAGCACCGGGTACACCATCGGTGCCAGCCGAGTACCCGGCTTCCCCGAGTACCTTGATTTTTACCGTACCACATTCCTGGATACTTGGACCAAGGCTACCGGTGGGTTGCTGGGCGGTACCATGGGTGTCGGTGTGGTGCAGGCGGGCGCCGCAAGAAGCACCGCTTCTCAGCTGCTGCCGAGTGCCCGCTGAGCTCCTGAAGTCCTGAGCTTGCTGCCGTCGCCCGTGCTGCCCGCGCTGCCGCCGCTGCGCTGCAGGCGACTGGTCCATTGTGTCAACGCCGCTGGGCTTAAGGCGAGCCAGCTGGTCGCAGGTGGGGCTGAGGTGGCAGCCAGCTGGCGCATCGCTGGCGCATTGCTGACGCATCGATTGCGGGAGCCAGACACTGCTGGTTGGCACGGAGGCTGCTGCCCCTGCTCCTCCCCGCCCAGGATGGCCCACGTGCACCCACCGCGCCGCCGTTCCTCCTGCCTCCCGCCCCTGCTTCCGCAGTGGGGCAACCTGCGCCACGCCACCAACGTCGCGTTCTTCGCCCTGCTCTATGCACAGCACCTGCCCGAGGGCACTCGGGTGAGCGGCTGTGCCTTGGCCTGTGATGCCCACCCAACATCGGTTGCGCTCGTGGGGAGTGGCGGCCTGCCGTGCCTACGATGATGCCACCGCCTGCCTGCAGAACCGCGCCGCCGCCATCGCCCTGGCCAAGTCCCAGGTCGATTATGCCCTCGGCTCCGCCGGCAGGAGCTACGTGGTGGGGTGGGGCACCAACCCGCCGCTCAGGGTGGGTCTGCCTGCTTGGCGCCTGCTGCGACTTCCTGGACCGACCGGCTGGGCTGTGGATGGCTGAGTGGAAGGATCAGATGCAGCACTGATGGCCTGGCTGCAGCTGGCGGCTGCGGGCCACTCGGATCTGTCTGCCGCTCAGCCAAACTGCTCTCTGTTGACACCTCCCCTCACTTCCCGCCTGTGCCGCAGTGCCACCATCGGGGTGCTTCCTGCCCTGACCGCCCAGCACCCTGCGGCTGGGATGCCTTCAACAACCCAGGCCCCAACCCCCAGGCACGCCCCCCGGCTCCATGCCTTGCATGGCACCAGTGTAGCAGCCGGCGCCCTTCGGGCTTGCCGCAAGGCCCCAGCCCACCTGCCCGCCCACAAGCAAGCTCGCCACTTCCCACGCTGTCCTGCCTGATTGCACTCGCCCTCCTGCAGGTGCTGAAGGGTGCGCTGGTGGCGGGGCCAAAGGGGCCTGGCGATGATTCCTACCAGGATGTCAGGCCCGACTACGTCGGAAACGAGGTGTGTGCATGTGCTGGGCGGCGGTGGCTGCCGTGGCGTTCGTGCGCGGGGGTGGGGTGGCGGCCCCCGCAAGCGCATGCACTGCAGTGGCGCAGACTGCACATGAGTCGTGAGTGCATCACCCGCACCACCCCCCTTGATCACGTGTGCCCCCTGCCCAAGGTCTGCTCACGCGGCCTATCATAGCGGGGTGACTGTAACACCTGAACACCTGATACGCAGTGTCGCAGACTGCACGCACACACACACACACAACCACCTGCCCCCATGCAGGTCGCCATCGACTACAATGCCGGCTTCACTGGCGCCCTGGCGGGCCTGCTCCAGGTGCAGCCCTGAGCTGCGGCTGCCAGCGGCGATCGTGCCTGCTGGCCTGGTGCGCCAGCGGCAGCGTTGGCAGGCCGGTCCAGCTCCTGGTGCCGAATAAAGTACCATCAAGCCAATACCCAGCTGATACCTTGCCACAGTCACCACATGTGCGAGTGAGATCGGGTTTCCACCAATGTGTGCTTGCACCCCCTCCAAGCCCTCCTTCAACGACAGCCAACCTCCACCCAGTGTGACGGCTAGTGTGACGATCCCTCCCATTTCCCGCCCTTCTGATTTGATTGGTCTACAAGCTGAGCCGGCCCCCCTTTGCATTCTACATCTAAAAGTTGCTTATTCTGGACCTCCCTGTGCATTCTGATGCGCCACGTGGCGTGCCAAGGACTCTGGCAGCAGGCAGGGGTGCAGCCGCTCGCCGAGCTCGAGCGCGGAGAGCACGGCCCGCCGGGCGGGCGCCGGGCCCCGGCTGCTTCATCGGCTGCAGGCAGACCAACCCTTTGGTTGCCGCATCTTATGACTCAAGAATTAACCAGCCCTAGGATTCATGCGCAACGGGGCCAAGGCTCCTGGGTCGCTGGGTGTGGGCGCAAGCACGGTGGCAGTGCCCGCCGGCGCCTTGCGCGGCGGCGGCGGCAGCGGCTGGAGGGCAAGGCGCTGGGCCCGCGGTCGGCGGCATGCGGTAGCTTTCTTCGTTTGTCTGGCAACCGAGCTCCACCGGGTGAGGCAGGAAGGCTCCCATGAAAGCTTTGACGGAACTGGACTCCTCAGAGGACACGCCACGTGGCGCAAAATCGGAGAGCGCACGTGCTCTCGGCGCCCCGCTGCGTCTCCTTAACTTTCTCCTGCTCGGCGGTTCGCCCCAGCTCGGGACTGTGTCCTCGGGGCGCCCCATCAGCCCACTCCACAAACGCGTGCGGCAACGCCCCGAACCCAGCTTGTTTGCGCCCCTGAACGCCTCCAGGTGCCTGCACATACCCTCTGTGACCTATCCACCCCGGTGAAGCAGAGCCGCAACGCCACCAACAGCAGCTGTGAGTCACAGCCATGACGGCCGCCCAGGACGCGCGGGAGGCTGCGGACTACCAACCCACCTCCTATTACTGGCACGCCAGGGAGGGGCAGCCGCAGGAGCACTGCCTGGGCAACTCCTGCGAGAACTTGGTCGGCATGGACTGCCCCCGCCAGGTGCGCCCGCCGCCGCTTTGCCAGCCCGCTCCCGCTCCATGCCTTGCACGGACCACCCCAGAACCCGCCCTGCTTGCCCGATGGCCGCTTGCACTGCGCCTGGAGCGCTTTTGGGCGTTTGAACGGCCCCTGCCCGTCAATCTGCCGGCCCGCCTGCGGGGTGCCGACGCAATCTGCCATGCCACGGCCGTTCCCTCTGCCGCACGTCCCCCCCACACTCCCAGCCCACTCACCCTGCTTCTGCTGCCATCCCCGCCCTTTCTCACAGCAGGAACCCACGCCTCCCGCGGCGCCGCACCTACACCAGCCGGCCTGCACCGTGCCCAAGCCGGTTCGCTCCGAGGCCGCGCCGCCCTCCGCATCCACCGCCACCGCGGCCGGCAGCCTGGGCAGCAGCCCGCGCGGCGGCGCCGCCTCCTCCTGCCTAGACCAGTACCACTCCATGCTGCCGGACAACCCGGTGCAGCAGCTGCCGCTGCTGCCCACCACCGCCTCCCACACCTCTGCAACCGTGCGGGTCGCCGCCTGGCTGCTGGGCGGCGGCGACGCGGCGGGCGACACGCAGCAGGAGGCGGCGGCGGCGGAGGAGGACGCTGCGGGTTGTACCGCCTCCAGCGACGCCGCCAGCCTGGCAGGCTGCTCCGATGTGGCCCTCCTGGATGAGCTGGAGCAGGCGAGGTACGGGCCCGGAGGCGACACACGCGCCTCCGCGGCCCAAGCGCCAGCTCAGCACCTCGGCAAGGCGGGGTCGGATGTGGATGGCTACCGCGCCACCTCCTACTACTGCCAGGCCAGCCGCCGCTCCCTGGACGGCTTCATGTCACGGCCGGTGCAGGTGCGGCTGGGAGGGGTGCGGCGGCGTTGCTTGCACGACGGCGCCAGCTGGCGTGTGGAGGCTGCACGACGGCGCCAGCTGGCCGCGCTTGGTGGCGCCCAAGCTTGCTGGCACCTGCTTGCCTCTACCCGCGCTGGGGCCTGCCGCTGTTGCAGCATCTTGCCTCCCTGCCCTGCCCCTGGCCTCGAGCCAACTCAAAGCCGACTTGCCGCCGCGCCCTCCCGCCTGCCTGTGCAGCACAGCGACGTCCTGAACAACTATGTGGCGGCAATGTACTGAGGGTGTACTGCCTGCACTCCGAGCGCTGAGCGCCAGCCCTCCTGGGCCGCGGCTGCCACCCCACGAGCAGGGCGGCCCAACACACCAACGACTGAGACTTGGAGCGCCGCGGAGCCCCCGCAGAGGCGGGAGGCGCCGCGCAGCCAGTACACCCCTTTGCAGTATACCCGTCTCTAGCGTCCACCCTAGCGTCCCTTGCCCTGCCCATCTCACAAGGCGTGCCGGCCCGGCCGAGCAGCAGAGATTTGATTGGCGCCCTGTGCGCCTCGCGTGCCCCCACACCTGTCCCTCCCGCCAACCTGCCGCCAGCTTTTTCCCAGGCACCTTCCGCCGGCTGGCGGGCAGCGCGGGGTTTCTGCGATGTCGTCGAGAAGATCCCAGCCTGCGTGTGTTTTCGGAACAGCACGCCCCCTCACTTGATCCATCCCTCTTTCATGCCCCCCTGTGCCGCCTGGCAGCGTTTTTATGCAGGCAGCGCGGCGCTGAGGCACGCCGGCCATCCCGGCCGCCCGCCGCGCACAGCCTGCCACAATCTCCCGCGGTTTGCCGCTTGTTTTCCCTACGATCTGTTGCTTTGTTTTGCCACCACACACTTGTGAACTGTACTATTCCCCGCCCCTATTTGCATGTACGTCGTCGCCTCTTTCCCGTAGCCGCTCTGCCTCCCAACCTGCTTGCTCTGGGCAAGCCTCTGTTCCTCCTAACCCGCCCTCAACAACGAATGGCCCTGATCGCGATGCCTGCCGCCGAGCAGCACGCCCCTCTCAGCCACCAACCCACGCAGTCGCACGCAACCCCGCGCAGGGCCCCTGCCTGTCTCCCCTGCCAATGTGACCACCCATCCTGTAGCGCTATCCGACGGCCCGCCGCTGCTTCTCCCTCCCCCCTTGCACCTGTTCCAGTCCGCTGGTGCTGCCCGCCTGCCCACCCTACCGCGGCGGTGCACTGTTGGCTTACACTGCTGCAAACGAACCTTCAGGGGTTGAATCAAGAATCGAGGGTGACAGGGGATAGGTGTGCACACTGCAGGCGCCTATTAAGGAGAGGAAGCAGGCCGCAAGTCAAGAGGGTTGAGGAGGGCTGTGAGGTACAGAGCTTCTGTTCGTGCCAAAACTGGGCAAGGACGCGTTGGATCACGGTGGCATATAGTTCTTTGGGAAGTGTCGTCAAATGACATTCAGGAGAGGGTGTGTCTGTCCGCAAAAATGCCGCCAGGAGCGGGGATGGTCGGCTTGAGTGGTGGCGATCGCTCGGGGCAAGCAAAGTTGAGGTATGAGGTGGCGGCCCGAGTTGGATGCCCGGGCCGGCTTCCACCAACCCAAGGTTCACAGCTGAGGGGCTGGGGTGCTCAGGGCAGCAGGGAGAGCAGGCCGGCGAGGGCGCCAGTGAAGCCGGCATTGTAGTCGATGGCGACCTGAGGAGGACGGGGGGCGGAGAGCGGCCAGTTGGCGGCCGGGCACCCCAAGTGGTGCTGCTACGGCTGCGGCTGGAGGCATGGCACAGCGCAGCACATCACAGCACAGCGCAGCGCAGCATAGCCCAGCACAGCACAGCGTGGCACAGCGACGGCACCTCGTTGCTTTCATAGTCGGAGCGCACGTCGCGGTAGCCGGCATCCCCGGGCCCAGAGGGCCCGCCCACCAGAGCGCCGTGCAGCACCTGCGTCGCGGCCGGCGCGCTAGGAGTGGCACGGCACCCTGGCGAGCGGACCCTCCAAGCATGAAGGCATGCTTCCTGGGGAGCAACACCTGGCTGGCAGGCACCTAAGTCCTATCTCCACCAATTCATCGCCCAATCTCACCACTGCACACTGTGTGGCACCCATCCAAACTGCCAGAACCCTAGCAACACACACCTGCGGGTTAGGTGTGGGAGCGTCGAACTGGTCCCAGCCGCAGGGTGCAGGGCGGTCAGGGCAGGAGGCGCCCGCATGGTGGCACTGCGGCACAGGCAGGACGGGAGGGGAGGTGGCAACAGAGAGCAGCCCGGTTGAGCCACAGACAGCCCCGAGTGGCCCGCAGCCGCCAGCTGCAGCCAGGCCATCAGCGCTGCTACTATTCCGACCGCCTCCACTCAGCCATCGGCAGCCCGGCAGCAGGTCCAGTCGCAGTGGCAGCAGGCGCCGCACAGGCAGACCCACCCTGAGCGGCGGGTTGGTGCCCCACCCCACCACATAGCTCCTGCCGGCGGAGCCGAGGGCGTAATCGACCTGGGACTTGGCCAGGGCGATGGCGGCGACGCGGTTCTGCGGCAGGCACAGGAAGCACGCACGGGAGATCGGCTTGGTGAATGTGGAGCGGTGCAGTACACCACCAGGCGGGGATTCAGAGCAGGTCACCGACACGGGCACGGCGCCGTAAAGGGCGCAGATTGGAGGCCGGCAGCAGGCAGAGCGGGAGTGCAAGCAGGCAGCGCACGGCGGCTCACCGGGCTGGCAGCCGCCAGCTGCTTGGCGCGCAGCAGCGCCACAAAAGCGGTGTTGGCGGCATACGCGTTGTTGCCCCACTGCAGGGGCGGCGGCGCAGCAGGATGGGTGGTGCGTGTGTGTGTGGAAGGGGACAAGCGCCAGGCACAGCAAGGTAGGGGAGGCACACGGGAAGAGAGGCAGGCGGCAGCAAACAGCGCCGCCTCGGCATTGATGCCTAGCCATGGCCAAGCTAGCCAGCCCGACCAACCCACCGTGGACCAGTTGGGATAGACGAGGCCGCGGGGGCTGCGGGTGATGCCCCAGGTACCTGCAGCGCACAACAGGCATCCCGCGGCACGGCTGTGTACTGCTGCACACTACTGTGGGTTGTTGATGCGAACCCAGGCACCGACTACCTCCTGGGGGCACCCCCCGACATGGCAGGCAGGCAGGGGAGCAGCGGCAGGCAGGGGAGCGGCGGCAGGCTCCAGCGCGGCCCACCGTTGGCTGCCACGTGGTACTGCAGGAAGGTGGAGTCGATGAAGGCGCCGTACTGCGAGTATCCGGGCACCCGAGCGGCGCCAATGCGCTGCGCGGTACTGCAGGCAGGTGGGGGTGGGGTCAGCGGTGTCATGTGTGTGTGTGTGTGTGTGTGTGTGTGTGTGCACGCGTGAACAGGCGTGAAAAGGTGTGGTGGGGAGGCGGTTGGGCGTGGCTCGGGGATGAGGTGGTGGTGGGCCTGTGAGCGGCACTCGGCAGCCTGCCCCCGCCCGGCAGGCCACACAGGCTGCAGCATGCCTGCGGCAGGAGGGCGTGCCTGCCTATCTCCCCAGCCCTGTGCACACTCACCCCAGAAGCAGGGTTGCGGCCATTGTGAACTGGCTGTCGTAACCTGCAGCAGTGGCGCAGAGGCACAGCCGGCAATAATGTTGGCAGGCGATTAGGTGCCCCGCCAGCACCGCTCCCACCAGCGCTCTCATCACCCACCCACACACACGCACGCACAGACACACACGCGCACATCACCCCTCCTCCCGGCTCACTGGTGTATGGCGAGATGTTATCAAAAGAGGTCTGCTGGAAGTGCCTGTGTGCCGCATCCAGGTAGCTGGCATTGCCTGCAGCCCAGGGAGCAGCGAGCAGGGCGGACCCGGCTCACATGCAAGCAGGCAGCAAGAGCGCATGCGCACACAGCAATGCGCCAGGCCTGGGCGCTGGCTGGGGCTCGCCGGCACGCTGGCTACACGCCGTGGCGGCGGCGGGTGCGCACCGGTGGCGCGGTGCAGCCAGGCGGCGGCCAGCATGAGCTTGTCGTGGTATCTGTTGCTCTCGTACAGGTCCTGGGGGTATCCCGGCATGCTGTCACTGTACTGCCCTGCGGGCACAACCGTGGCAGAGGAGTCGGACAGCCAGGCATCCTCCCGAATGACCGCAGCCGCTGCGGGCTCCCGGCACAGCGGCAGGCCGGAGCAGCGCTGTGGCACAGCGCGGCGCGGCAGGCCAGGCGCCAAGTGCTGACGTGGCGGCGGCGCTGACCTGGCACCGCCGCCCCCCACGCATACAGCTGCCTGGCCTTGCCCAGCAGCACAGCGGCGTAGGCTGGCTGGCTGGAACTGAACAGGAGGCTGGTGGAGGAAAGAGCCGCGCTGGCCTGCGGGCGGGAGGCCAGCAGGCGCAGCAGGGTAGGGTGTGCGGATGGGAGCAGGGCGCCTGGCGTGGCGGCAGGAGCAGCATGCCACAGCCCTTTCCAGCCATACAGCATGCCCAGCAGCAGCACAGCGTGCCCATCAGGCCAGACGCGCACACAGTGTGAGCACAGCGTGCGCACCATGCCCAGCAGGTCGGACGCCGCCGTCGTGCGGTTCCACACCCAGGCCGGCCGCGACGTGCGCTGCTCCTCCGGGCGGCCCCAGTAGTCGTGGTCGATGGCTGCGACGGGCATGAAGAAAGAAAGACAGGCAGGGAGGAAAGAAAGAAGGGCGACGTCACGATGGGAGGCTGGGGAGGCCGCGGGCCGGCGGTCGTGGCGTCTCGCTGCCGGGCGGGCAGATGGGCAGACGCAGCGGAAGGGGGCGTCAGGTGGGCGAGTGCTGGGAGGGAGGCAGCGCTCCTGCCGACGCTTGGAAGGTGCATACGGCGCAGCGGGGCGCCTGCCAGCCAGATTTCGGCAGCCGCGGCCCAAGGGCTGCGCCGCGCCCCGCCCTCAGTGCCCCTCCCACTCACTCATGTCTCCTATGAGCCCCACAAACTGGAAGGGCGAGGCGTGGCATGCGGCCAGGTAATCTGCCCCCCACTTGACCGCCGAGCGCGCGCGCAGTGTCTGGTTGCCTGCGCGGGGCAGCAGCGGCAGAGAGCCGAGCGTTGCAGGTTGCAGGCGCCGCCGTACAACGACGTGCAGGGGCCAGGCGTGCAGGCGAGGCAGGTGGGGAAGGAGGGGCCGGCGGCGCGGGCGAGGCGGGCACATGCGGTCAGGCCTCACCTCGCGCCATGCCGCCCGCAAAATCCAGGGCTCCCCAGGCCAGCATGAGGGTGGCGTGGGCGGTGGTGTATGAGATCTTCAAATAGTCGCCTGCAGAGCAGGGCAGGGCAGCGCAGGGCAGGCAGGCCGGCACGGCGGCTGCTCTGCGCGCGGCCAACTCTGCGCTTGGCCAGAGCCCCAGCCCGTGCAGCCCGCACCCCTGGGGCCGTGCGTGTGGTGGAGCAGCAGGGGCAGCAGGCCGGCCGCCCAAGGTGAGGCAGACGGGGCGCCGCGTACCTGCGTCGTAGTATCCGCCGGGCACGCGGTCCGCCAGGTGTGCGCTGCGCCGCCACGGCACGCGGCTGCCCGCGCTGATGTTGCCGCTCCGCTGGGACTCGTAGAAGAGGAAGGACTTGGCCAGGACCTGGCGGGCAGGCAAGGGCGGGGCCAGCAGGCAAGGGAGAGCGAGGGGCGTGCCGGTGGGTGGGTGGCATGCGTGCCTGCCGAGCAGGGAAGGCATGCCAGGCCCTGCCGGGCACAGCAGCCACACTGGGAGTATACGCATGGAGACCCAGCCCAGCCCGCTCGCTGCCCACCTGTGCGTAAGCTGCAGGCCCAAAGGTGGGCGCCGCCGGGGGCGGGCGACGCATCGGCGGCGGCGGCGGCCGGCGTGCCGGCGGCCGAGGCCGACGCGGCGATGGCGGCGGCCGGCGCTGCGGCGGCGGCGGGCGGAGCGTGACAGCCGCGGAGCCAGCGACGGCGCCATCGCTGCCAGCGGCTGGGCTGTAGGCATCGATGATGGATTGAGGGATGCCGCCGGCGGAGCCGCGAGGCCGCCGCCTTGCGCCGTCAGCGGCCAGGCGGCGCAGCCCAGCGCTGGCGGCCGGCTGCTGGCTGGCAGCGATGGGCGCCACCTGCACGCAGCAGAGGGATGGAATCACCCAGATGAGGGAAGCTTTATGCGCAACCGACTGATCGGAGGGGTTCCCGAGTGCGGGGCGCGGGCTGGAACATGGAATGGCAAAGCGGGCCGATGCCAGCCACGACCCATGTCTGGCCCTGCCCTCCAGGTGCCAAATTAGCGGGCAGGGGCCGCTGTCCGGCGGGATTGGGGCGGGTAGGCATGTCCTGGAGCAGGCCACTCACGCAGCAGGCAATTGCTAGCACGAGGCATGTGATCGAGGGGCGGTTGGAGCCGCCAGCGTGCGCCATGGGTGCGGCCGCTCAAGTTGCGAGGCGGCCACTATTCATGCTAAGAGCGTCCGGTTGCCTGAACCGGCCATTTGCATGATCTCAAGGAGGCTGATAGATGACTTCCAGAAGCAGGCCTCCCCACTCTTCCCACCGCCCACAGGGCGGTGGCCGCCGCCCCCTCCTCGCCAGCGAGGCAAGAATTGCGCTCTACCCTTCTGCAAACGAGACGGCATCACTGCCCTGGCATGATGGCAAATCGCTGCTTGGGTATCATTGAATACTGGGTGGGGCTCACCTTGCAGGGCTGCAGCGGCAACGCAGGCGACAACAATGCGACAACGGCAGTTGAGGCTTCACACGCTCCCTTCTTGCCCCCAAAAGAAGAGGCCTCTGCTGTGATGATGAACCGCACTTCGCCTGGACTGCTACCTGCCTATGCAGCATGCGGGGATCGAGGGCATGGCGCTGAAAGATGCAGCGCCGGCGAGGGAACTATCCGCTCAATCCCCGCCGCCTGGCCTGAATGGCGACAGCTTGCAGCACGGACAATGCAACACATCGGTCCTTGTCGCAGCGCAGAGCTAGTTCCACCACACTTGGTAACAGGGCAGGGATGAGTCTGCAGGGGCGGGCCAAAGCCACACAGGCAAGCGCCGTCTGGCCGCGGACACTCTCACCGCCTTGCCACCCCCATTCCCAGTCCTGAGCGGTGGGCCCCGCTGCTGGTGCTGCTGCCTAATGACGAAAAGCACATCCGCTCCCGCCATGTCTCACTAAACCCGCGCTGAGAGCTGGCGCCACCCACCGCTGTCTGACCAGATGTGAGGGGACATTGCGCCGGCTCCAGCTGGCGCCGCCGCCGCCATATGATGCATATGCCGCTCTTTTCGATTGAAAATCGCCACGGTTCCATCTTTCCGTCTGTTTCCGCATCCCCTGGGGACCAAACCGTGGCAATTGATCGGTGCGGTACTTGCTGTGCTAGCTCAGCCAGCCGCCAGGTGGCTATCAGACCAAAATCTTGGCATAGGCCAGGGTTGGTGGGTCCACTGGGGGACGCTACGCGCATAACCTCTCTCGAATTAGGAAGGAGCCGCGGGGGCAGCTGGGTTTGCAGCTGGAGTACTGCGAGCGGCGAGAGCCCGGTTTTCTCTCACTGAAGGGGCGGGTTGCTCCATTTACCAGCGGCAGGCCTTGCCAGCCGCCGAAACCCCGCCATGGCAGCCCCTGCAGAGGCTCCTGCAGCAGCGCACCATCAGCCCAGCCCAGCCCGAGCTCGGGGCAGCAGCGCCCGCTGTCAGATATGCGAGGTCGACCTCAGCACCGAGCGCATCTTTTTCAGGGTAAGGCTGGGGGCGGCGCGGCGGGGCTCGGCCTGGCGCGTTGGGGACCCACCCAGCGGGCCCCCAGCTGCCGCCGCCGGCGCGCACGCTGCCTCCGCCCGTCCTGGACTGCAGCTACCCCACCGCCCGCCCTCGCCTCCTCCTCCCATCCCTATAACCCACCCTACCCGCCATTTCCCGGCCGCGCCTGCAGCGATATCGAGCGTGCCCTCAGCATGTCCACGCCGACCAAATAGAGCTGGAAGGCAGGCCCCACCGCTTCTGCCAGCAGGTGAGCCTGCCCGCTGCCTGCCCGCCGCCTTGCTTGGGTGCAGCGCCACTGCCGGCGAAGGGCAGGCCGCTGCGCTGCCTGCGGGGCTGCGTCGCCGGGCTAGCCGGGCCAGCCGGCCCCGCCTCTGGCCGCAGCCCGCCTGCCTGCCAAACCCATTACCTAATCATCACCGCGGCTGACCTCGGATCACTGCCCACCTCGCCCGCCGCAGTGCGGCCGCTTCCACCGCCTCGAGTGCTTTGACGGCGACAAGCGCAGCTGCCGGGAGCAGCTGGCGCAGCACGCGGCCCGCCGCCGATACCTGTACCGCCTCCGCCACGGCGGCGGCGGCAGCGAGGGCGGCGGCGGGGCCGCCAGCGGCGGCCACGCGCGCAGCAGCGGCGGCAAGAGCAGCGGAGGGGGGCCCTCTGCGAGCTCCGGCTCCGAGCAGGGCGGGCAGCTGGACGCCAGCGCAGCGGCGGCAGACACCCTACTCAACTACCTCCCCCTCCCAACCGCCAAGTGCCAGCGAACCGCAGAGCTCGCGGGGCCGGCCCTGGCGCCGCAGCCGCAGCAGGCGCCCGAGCCCCCGCATCTGCCGCTGCCGCTGTCCCCGCCGCCGCAGCAGCTGCAGCAGATGCAGCAGCAGCTGCAGCAGTGCGCCCCCGAGTGGCAGCAGCAGCAGATGCAGCAGAGCGTGGCCGACTGGCAGCAGCAGCAGGCGCCCGCCCCGCAGCAGCAGCACGCACCCTTTGCCTGGCAGCGCACAGACAGCAGCAAGAGTGCGCAGCAGCCGCCGTGGCAGCGCACAGACAGCGGGAAGAGCGCGGCGCAGCCGCCCTGGCAGCGCACAGACAGCGGGAAGAGCGCGCAGGGGCAGCCGCCCTGGCAGCGCGCAGACAGCGGGCTCAGCGGGCTCAGCAGCACGTACCGCATCTCTGGCTTCCTGGAGGCAGCCGCCGCCGCCGCCATGGCCGCCGTTGCGCCGGAGCTCGGCACGCCGCGCAGCGCGGCCGGCGAGCCGCCGCCCGGCCACCACGCCTGCCAGTCTGCCCAGCAGCACACGCCGTCGCCGTCGCCGCAGCCCGCGGCGGCGGCGCCGCCGCCGCAGCAGGGGCAGCAGCAGGAGGAGGAAGAGCGGCTGCTGGAGCAGCAGCAGCAGCGGCTGCTGGCTGCCGAGCTGAACCGCTGGGTGGATGAGCAGCTGCAGCAGAGCCCCGCTGAGGAGCGCCGCCTGCTGGCGCCGCTCGACTCCCTGCCCCTACGCGGCAGCCCGGCGCGGCGCAGCCACCCGACGGCCGGCCCGCGGCCGGCAGCCGGGGCCGCGCGCCCCGCCCGCGTGCGCAGCGCCTTCTCGCCGCCCTCGGCGGCCGCCGCCGCGTGGCTGCCGCCGCCGCGCGCCGACGTTCAGGAGCTGTGGGGTCGGCTGTGGCAGGCGGTGCAGCCCGCAGGCCTGGGCCCGCCGCCGCTGGCGCTGCCGCAGCTGGGCGGCGCCGCGGGGCAGCCGCGGCTGGTGCTGCGCCCCGTGCCGCGGCGCGTGGGCGTGCTGGCACCCAGCCTCAGCGCCGCTGTGGCTGCCGGGCAGCTGCCGCTGGGCGTGGCGGCGGCGCAGGCGCAGCCGCTGGCCGCGCTCATGCGCCAGATGCAGCGCCAGACCGGGCCCCTGCAGGCCCATGAGTTGCTGCAGGTGCTGGAGCGGCTGCAGCCCCCACCGGCACTAGTGGCGGTGCCCATGGCCCCGCCGGCCCCTCCCGCGCCGCCGCCGCCGGCCAACAGCCAGCTCCTGTCCCTGCTGGCATCGGCCGCCCCCTCCCTCCTCTTCTGAGCGCCCTCCCCGCCAGACGCCTCCCCTGCGGTGCCCGCCTTCCGGTGCCGGCCCCCCACTTTTGCCTCGCCTCCCTCTCCCGCCCGTTGGCCCGCTGCCGGCCAGTCGGCGCCCCATACTACACCGCTACCTTCCTTTCCTATTTCTGTCCTGGCCTGTACAGCCCAGATACCAAATAGCCAAGTACGGCCCTTGCTCCCAATCCAATCTCAAGCCCCAGCCAATGCGCGCACCCCGTTTTCCTCCCCCGTTTTGCCCCATATGCCCTGCTCCTCTCTCTTTGCCCCCGTATGCCCTGCCCTGCTCTTTCTTTCCAAAAGCCTGCGACGGAGGCACCCATGTCTGCCGCCGTCCCAGCGAGTGCGCTGGCCCTATTGCATGCAAAATTCGTTTATGCCGCCCCATGCCCGGCTGCTCCGGGTGAATTCTTTGGTTCCTTCTTGTCCCGCTCCGCGCTGTCCCGCCGAGCGGGATGCCTCAGTGTCCCTCCCCGAACGGGATGCCTCAGTGTTCGTGCATGCCCCCTCGACCCCATTCAGTTGTCCCCGCCTGCATTGCTCCTGTGCCTGCTTGCCTGCCTGTACGCCTATATATGAATGAAGTGCCTTTCATTTGCAAGCCGAGCAGATTCAGGGGGCGAGACGTGAGAACCCAGGCACACCCATGCGCCGCAGCCAGCTCCCATGGCGCCAGCTACGCTTGCTTCTTGCTGCCGTCGCCTCCGCTGCCGCTCGCACCTTGCCCCGAGGGGGCGCCGGCAGCGGCCGCCGCCAGGCGCAGGTGGTGGTGCGGGAACAGCACCTCCCGCAGGTTCAGCCACGCGCCTCTGTCGTACCGGTGTGGCAGCGACGGCGGCCGCCCACGACGCGCCTGGGGCTGCGCCGCGCGCGCCGGGCGCTGCCGCGCCGGCTGCTCGCGGCCGCCGGCAGCCGCGGCGCCGCCGCTGCCGTCGCCACGGGCGAGCTGCCTCTCCACTCGCGCCTCCACCTGCCGCTGCTCCTCCTCCAGCTCCAGAGCCAGGGCCACCACCCGCCGCTTGTGCATTTCCACCGTGGTGAGGCCTGCTGGCGGGGCAGCAGCCGGGGAGGGGCCAGGGGCCTCGCACTCACTCTGGGCTGATCGCTGAGCTGGTTCTGGGCCAGGGCGGGCGGGTGAGCGGGTGCAGGAGCAGCTTGGCCGCCTGCCGGCCAACCCACACCGCAAGGCAGGGCGGGTGGGGAGCCAGGCGGAACCGGGGCTCCAAAGCCGCAGCCCGCGCACCACACCGGAGCGGCAGGATCGCTGTGCCGCACACCGCCGCCACGACCACCACCGCCTCCCGCGCCACCACCCGGACCGCAGTACCTGCACATATGAGGTACAGCTGGTACCCCAGGAAGCCAGCCACGATCCAGCCAGCCACCGCGGTGAAGAAAGTGAGCGCCATCTGCAGGCCAGGAGTGCCGCGACCCAGCACATATCAGCAGCTCGGCAAAACATCCCACCGACCTTCTGTCCTGCCCGAGGGCAGGTTTCAGCGGGAAGGGTGGAGTTGCTAGGGTAGAGGGATGGGCTGCCCGGGCGCTTGGCCCCGCCGCATCCGCCCACAGCACGACCGCAGGGCGGGGCTGGCGTGGCGGGCATGCGTGAGGCGGGGGGTGGCAGCCCCAGGGGCGCTGCCTGCCGGGCAGGGTGGGGCGCTGGGCGGGGGCTGCGCCTTGCCTGGGGGCCGTACATGGCTGACAGGAAGTGGAGCAGGAAGTGCCAGCTGTCGGACAGATACACCAGCTGGCCTGCACGCGGGGAGGGGCGGGCCGGAAGGCGCAGCCTGTAGGGTTCAGGGCGCAGCCGCCACCCCGGGGGGATGCAGCCTGCTGCTGCGGTCGGTCCGCCACCCGCGCTGCCAGCATTCCATCCAGGCTGAGCCTGCCACGCATGCAGCCGTCGGCACCGCCGTTCACACCGCTGGCCCTGCCCCTCACCGGTCTCTGGGTGGATGAAGGCTGTGTTCCAAGTGTCCTGCTGCGCCAGGTCAGCCAGCAACACCCGCGCCCCAAGCACCGCGGCTGCACAGGCAGCAGGAGCGCAGGGGCGGGCCCGGCGGCGGCAGCGTGGGGCGCGGCGCGGCTCGGCAGCGGGGCCTCGCAAGCCGCGGCAGCTGCGCGGCGGGCCCCGGTGTGGCGCCCCGGCTGCACGCTTGTGGTGCTGCGCCGTGCCCGCCTGGCTCCCCACCCCGCGCTGCGCCCACCGTAGCAGCAGATGGCGGCGGTGGCGGCCAGGAAGGCCAGGAACCAGCGCATGTTGGCCAGCCCCACGCAGCGGTTGATCCAGATGCTGCAGGGCGGCGGGTGGGAGCAGGTGGGGTGTGTGCATGGAGCGGAGGTCGCGGGGAAGGGCGGGGTAGGGGTGCGCACGCCAGGGGCAGCACAGGTGCTGCTGCACAGGAGCGGCGGCAGCAGCCGCGGGCAGGTCAGCGGCAAGGGTGGCTGGCGGCGGCAGGCGGCGGCGGCTCACCAGTGGTGATCCAGCCTGGCTACACACCTGCACACACAGCAGCCACGCCACGCGGCGAATGATGAGGAGGGGGCCAGCTGTACCAGCGGGCTGTACCAGCTCAGCCCGCCGAAGCGGCTGCCAAGCGCCGCCCCCTCCTGCCCCCTGCCAGGGACCGACACTACCACCACCACCACCACACATGCCTTCACGCAGGCAGCACACCGGCACGGCGTGCCCACCTGCCGCAGGCGGAGCAGTGCTTGGAGCGTGCGGGTCGGGGCAGGCCGCACGTCCGGCACTCCTTCTCTTCATACAGCAGGCCATCACAGGGGTACAGAGCGCGGTGCGCTGCCACGTTGGCGGCTGTCACGGTGCCTGGGTCTGAGAAGGAAGCTGCGAGGAAGAGGGCCAGGCAGAGGAGCGCGCCGGCGGTGCCCGTGTGCCTGCGACGGGCGTGGTGCAGCGGCGGCGGCGGCCGGCCGTGTGGTTGGGGAGTGGTCACACGCGGCGGCAGAGGCACAGTGGAGAGGCCGCAGACAGCCGGGAGGACAGGCGGCAGCGGGCTGCGAGCAGAAACCAGACCCAGCCTCACTTGTGCCAGGCAGGGATGCCGGGCAGGGGCAGCATGGGGAACAGGTAGCTCCAGGCGGCCCAGTAGCAGGCGGCCAGCAGCACCACGAACAGGATCTGGACGACCGGGTTGGACCTCTCGAAGCACAGCTCGCCGGCAGAGTGGCACAGCGCCGTGCCGCGGCGGCCGCAGAAGCGCCGAGCCGCCGCCCTGCGCAGTCGGGTGGCAGTGGCGGTGGGCGGCGGAGCGGGCGGCGGCGACGAGTGCGGCGCCTTGTCGGCAGTTCCACGATCGACTCATGCCTTAATTGGTTAATCTGCGAGCCACAAGCACCAAGCCAGGCCGCAAGCGGCAAGCTCACTCTGCTACATCGCAGAAACCTTCTGTAATGAAAAAGTGGACCCTTGGGAGCGGTGTTTTATCACACAGAGAGCTCTGACCAAAGATCAAAGTAAAAATGAGGAGCAGCAGAAGCAGAACGTAAATGGCCAGCCCAACGAAGGGGTCCATCGCTTCCCCCAGGCCCCTGGAAATCTCCCTTATACCACGGCACAATGTATCGGATGCAGGGTGCCTCCCTCCACAAGTATGGCTTCGGTCCTGAGTACGCATGTACTGCAGCCGCCCTCCCCTAGAAGCAGGAAGGACCATTTTGCGGCAGCGCGCCGCGGACCCATTGTCTTGTGGTAATTTCACAGTTGTTTGAACGCGCTCCAAGGCGCAGGCATTGAAGAGCGGGCTGCCCACTCCAACTGCCCCTCGCAATGAGGCTCAAACTTGGTTGGGGAGGAGGTAAGGGCGGCGGGGAGAACAAGGAGGACGGGGAGAACACGCCAAAGGTGCGTGTAGGCGCAAAGGCAGCCGAGCGCGCGCAATGTGGGTGGTTGGGAGTGCCATTCCCCGCCCCCGGGCCCCTCGCCGCTTCTGGCCATGCAATGAATGACCGGGGGTACAATTGCGAATGACAGCCACCCTACGCGCTCCCTCCGACACTGTCCGCCAGCTCCCGCCCGTGCCGCCGCCGCCGCCCGCGCAGTCTGGGCGTTCGCTGTTTGGGCGGAAGAGCAAGAAGTCGCCAAGGGCGTCCGAGTCCTCCAGGGCCAGCCCCGGACTGTCGGAGTATAGCGTGGACATGGATGCGCTGCACCGCGCGCAAAACGGGGTCGGTAGACGGCAGGGGACGGCTGGCTGGGTGCTTGAGTAGAGCTGGAGTTGCCGTAGAAGCTGTGCAGAGAAGCCAGCGCATGCCTTGATGAATCCGAACTGATGAAACTGCAGGGAGAGAACGCGCCGCCCGCCGACGCCCGCGCGCCGCTGCAAAAGGCGCCCAGCGACGCGCAGAGCACCAACAACCTGCGCCAGCTGGCCAAGTTTTGCCTGGCGGATGCTGAGGACACGTGCGCCAGCGCCGGCGCCCCGCAGCAGAGCGAGGAGGAGCTGGCGGAGGCCACCGCCGCCGCCGTGCAGGAAATCTCAGGTGCGCGCAGGACTGGGTGCGGCCCCTTGCAGAGAGCAGCTGATGCAACGGAGCGTTGCTGCAAAGCTCACCCTTGCAGCGTAGCCCGACACCGTTGCAAACCCAGCCCGCCTGCGGTGCTGCCTCTTCCTCCCGCAATGCAGAGCGCTCTGCTGAGCTGGCGACGGCAGCCCAGGGCGCCAAGGCCCACCGCGCCTCCTGCCTGGCGCTCGTCGCCTTTGGTAGCAGCATTGTGGAGGTCCTGGAGGCCAGGGGTGAGCTCTTTCCCTGGCTGGTGCCACCTAGTTGCCGCCAGATCCAGCCTCGCCTGCTGTTGTCCGCCCAACACCTCCCCGCTCCACTGCATGACCAGTACACCCTCAGAATCTGCTGCCTTTGTAAAACCTCCCTGCCTGCCCCCCTGCTGCCGCAGCCCCCGTGACGGCCGCCCCTGACCAGCTGGCCAAGGTGGCATGCCTGCTGGGCGACAGCACCACGCTGGTGGCCTCCTGCGCCGGCCCAGACTGGCTGCTGGTGGCGGCTTCGCCCGAGGCGGGCGTCTGCGAGGCCGCGCATGCCCTGCACGCCGACATGCTGGCGACTCTGAAGGTGGGCGGGCTGGGGAGGGTGCAGGCAGGAAGCTGGAGGAGAGGTGGAGGCCCGAGTTGCCGGCGGCAGAGGCGTGCGGCACACTGATCGCTTGCCCATTGATCCAGTTGATCCACAAACCTCGGCCCCTTGTTTCTCAGGCCCGCCGTTACCCTGCCTTCCCTTACCCTGCCCTCCCTTGCCCTGCCTCCCTCCCACCCTCCTGCCTCGCTGCTGCCGCAGGGACAGGGCCTGGACTGCGTACCCGGCACCCTGCGCCTGGCAGGGCCCGACTACCGCGACGGATCCAAGGCGCTGCAGCGCCGCCTCAAGCAGCTGGGCGGAGGCAGCCTGGCGGTGGGGCTGCAGGCGGTGGCTGCCGGGGAGGAGGAGCAGCAGGAGCTGGCCCGCACCCTGGATGCGGAGCCTGAGGTGGGTTCTGGCATGTGTGTGTGTGTGTGTGTGTGCGTGCATGTGAGAGAGAGAGAAATGAGGAGGGGAGGACAGTAAAGGTTGGGCATCGGCACTCATGGAGTGCTGGCAACACAGGCCGGTGAGAGCCGTTTTGCCTGCTGATACTGTGCCAACCGTCATTTGGCCGGCTTGAAGAGCCCTGCCCCCAGTCCTGCCCCTGATGTGCTGCTCCGCAGGACGTGAGGCGCAGCGCGAGCCACGTGGCGGCGGGCCTGGCCGGCGCCGGCGCCGGCGCCGGCGCCGCGGATGACGAGGCCGTAGCGGCGCACCGCGCCGCGCTGCAGAGCCTCTTCGCCTCCTACTCCACCTTTGGAGCCAGGGACCAGGGCGGGGCCGCTCTAGAGCTGGACTCCTTCCGCTGCTCCAAGCTTGTGAGGGAGGCGGGGCTGCTGGGCGGCCCCCTGAGGGCGCAGGATTTGGACGTGCTCTTTGCCAAGGCGGCGCGCCAGGGCAGCAGCCGCAAGTGAGTGGGGAGCGGTGCAGGCGGGGTGGAGAAGGCGGGAGGTGGTGGAGGCAAGAGCAGGGATGTGGGGGCCTGGCCTGGGTGGCAGCCAGCGCGCGTGCCAGCATCCGTGCCGGGCGGCTGGTGGTGGCAGTGCCCGCCCGCCTCCCACCAACCCCATCTCCACATGCGCCCCTCGCCTCCGCCTGCAGGCTGCCCATAGACGGCTTCCTCACGCTCCTGGCCCTGCTGGCGGAGAAGAAGGGAGTGGCGCTGGGAGAGGTGGGCGGGAGTCTGGGTGTCTGGGTCTGGGCCTACTCACGGGCTGGAAGTGCTGGCTTGCCACAGCGCTGGGGTCCAGCTGGTGACCTGTCCTCCAGCGCTTCCATCCCAGCTGCTGCTACTGCCAGCTTCCTTGGGCACCTTCCCAACCTGGAAACACACACACGCCACCACCACCACACCAGACACACACACGCACTCCTGGCTGCTGGCTGCAGGTGGTAGGCGCGGTGTCACGGCTGGAGGGCCCCACGGTGCGGGGCACCACCCCGGAGCACGTGAAGTGGCACGACGACAAGTCGACCTACACGGGTGGGTGGGTGGGGGTGGGTGTGCACTGGTGGGTGTGCGCTGGCTGTGTGTAGGAGGATGAGAGGTGGTGGCAGAAGGAGCAGAAGCAGCGTGGCTTGGTGGGTGCGTGCCCTCACACACGCACCCAACTGGCCTTGGGTGTGCCCCTGGCCCTTCCTCCCTGCCAGGCGTGTACGCCAGGGGCGGGCTGAGCGTGGCCGACGACACTCTAGACCTGGGGCGCATGGTGGACCGGGATGCGGCGGAGAAGGCGCAGCGCCGCGCCTCTGCCCCCGGCTCCCGCCGCGCGTCCCTGCCCGCCGGCGACGCCGCGCGCCGCACCCCTACCCCGGTCCCCACTGCCACGCCGCCGCTGAGCCGCACCGCGAGCGGGGCTGGGGCCGGCCCCAAGGAGGGCGCCAAGCACGCCACGGCGGCGGCAGCCGGCACGCCCACCGCCGGCGCTGCGTCGCCTCGCATCCGCGCCTTTGGCAGCCAGGTGTGCTGGCGGCGGCAGCCTTGCCAGACAGCAAGCCGCCTCCTGGCACGAGCGATGCCAGGGCGGCGGAGGCCAGCTGGCAGCGGCCGGCTGTGCGCCGTTCAGGCACGCCTGCGGCACCCCCTCAGCTGCCTGCTGCCTCCCTCGGTTCCTCTGCAGGAGGAGAACCCTGCCGCGGCAGACCCCCGCGGCCTGTGCGACATGTGGAGCCAGTTTGCGGCGTTTGGGCGCAGCGCCGGTGAGCCGGGCTGGGGTGGCGGGTGCCCGGGCCTGGCCTTCACACCACCCCAGCCCCCGCGCGTGCACTCACGCCACCACCTCCACAACCACCCTGTGCAACCACCCCTGCCATGGCCCTGCCATGCGTGCAGGCGCCCCCGGCGAGCTGTCGATGGATGGCGCCCAGTTCATGAAGCTGTGCCGCGACTCGGGCCTGCTCACCAGGGGGCTGAGCAGCACGCGGGTGGACCTCATCTTCCGCACCACCGCCGCCAAGGTGGGTGGGCAGAGTGTTAAGCAGGGGTGGGGCGGGGAGGTGAGGGGAAGGGAGGGGCGGGGGAGAGAGGGGCGAGAGATTGGGCGTGCTGGCGCTGTGGGAGGGCTGCGAGGGTGTGTGGGCCTCCGGGCCGCCGGGCCGTGCACCTCCCAGCCCAGAGGTTGTCAGGTATGGGCCACGAGGAAACAGCGCCTTCAGCCTCCGTCCTCCTCCCCACACCTCCCTGCCTGCCTGCCTGCCTGCCCGGCTCCCTGCCTGCAGGGCGCGCGGCGCATCACCTACAGCCAGTTCCAGGCCGCGCTGCCGCGCCTGGCAGAGGCGCGCGGGTGCGAGGAGGGCGAGGTGGTGAGCCGCATCGTGGCCTCCACAGGCCCCACCCGCAACAACACCACCACGCCCGAGGCCGTGCGGCTGAGCGACCGCAGCAGCTTCACCGGTGGGTGGCTGCCGCTGGGGGGGCTTGTCGGGCGGGAAAAGGCTGCTCGCTGCTGGCTGCGTTCCATAGCTGCCCGTCTCCCACACCGGCCAGCACAGCGGGCTGCCAGTAGCGGCGTGGCTGCACTGGCAGATACCCGGCGGTACCGCCGTTTCAGCGCGCCGCCGTCCTGTGCCTGTCTGTCGCCCCGCAGGCATCGCGGCACGCGGCGGGCCCACCACTGTGGAGAAGGAGCGCATCACCCTGGCCGGCATGTGCGACCGCAGCGGGCGGCGCTCCTCCCTGGCCCGGTAGGGGCTGGCTGCGGTGGCGGCTTAGAAGCTTTAATTAGGACAGCCGACGGGCGGCTGGCGGCCGGCTGTGTGGGCTGGGATTGGTGTTCAGCCCCACGCAGCAGGCGGCCAGCGCTCGCCGGCTGGACGTGGGAGCACCGGGGCGGCTGCTGGACGGCAATGGGCCTGTACAGTGTACACTCTTCTGGGCGATCCTTGATGCCCCACTCACATTTGAGCGGCGGGCTGTCTGGTGGCAGGGGCGACAGTGTGGGTGCCACACCCTCTGCAAGTGAGGGCCCTCTGGACCCTCGGCTGTGTGCGCTTGCTTGCTTGCTTCCTTCCTGTTATGGATTGCCAGGGGCTGGCTGCCAATGTGTGGCTATTGGGAATGCGGAAAGCAACTAATGTAATAGTAACGCACCCCTTGCCAAGTATCAGCGATAGCATTATATGCAGGCGCAGTGCAATCGA